CTCTCTCTCTCTCTATCTATCTATCTATCTATCTATCTATCTATCTATCTATCTATCTATCTATCTATCTATCTATCTATCTATCTATCTATCTGTAAATCTGCAAAGTGATTTTTCATGAAGATATAATAATAACTGCATTTATATAGCTCATACCCACGTTCGACAGCTTGCTCTATGTGTTTTTTAACTACTATTGCCCCAGCAGACCTTAGGACACTCAGAAATATTGTCATCTTCCGAAAAGCATTCAGTGCAAGCAGCCGGTTTTGCACTCAAACACTAACAAACTGATAAAATCTTTCGCTGCAGATAGCCAGGTACCCATTCCCACCTGGGTAAAATGAGAAAAATTCGTGTAACGTGCCTTTCCCAAGGGCACAATGTAGGGCCACTTGCAGGTTTCGAACTCACTACCTTTTGGTTGTGAGCCCAATAGCCTAACCACCAGACCACCGACACTACGATATCTCTCTTTTTCTAAGCTTTTCTGCCTACCAGCCTGTCTGCTTTCCAGCATTACCAAGTTGCTTACCTGTGTATCGAGTGTTTGACAAGTACCTCCGTGCGCATAGTACAGACATTACTCTACGCCCTTAGTACTTTTCTTACTTATCCGCTCTGCTAATTGTTCTCTTTCGAGCTCTATTTATTCATCCTTGTTTGGAGAAATGGCCTGGAACTGACAGTTCCACTGATTTCAATAGTATCATCATCATCATCATCAAGTGCCAGATCTGCGACACACAACGGCGATCATAGTTCTCCATTCATTCCTTTGCTCGGATGCTATATTACCCTGATCTTTCCCCGTCACCCACCTGTTTCCGTTCCCCAATTTAAGTTGCTCTCGACCTTCCCCTGTCTCGTTTGCTTTCAATTTTGCCTGTGAGAGCTAGATATTCAAGACCTTTTTGTCTGTTCAGGTGTCCAAAAACTGCATTTCAATAACACCCTAACAAGTGCTTGTATTGAAAGAGGAACAATTTATAATACAGAGATCATTATCACCTCTCCAGCTGCTCAGCTTGGTTTCTGCTACACCCGAGTCCTCAACCGGAACTGCCAAGGCCGTATCGCAGAGCGCATGTCGCTGAGGGACTGCTGCTGCTCCGTGGATATGGGCAAAGGGTGGAGTCTGAGCGGTCAAACCTGCCAGCCGTGTCCTAATGTCGGTTCGGGTGAGTCAAAGAGAGACATAAAAAGTGTGTGTGTGTGTGTGTGTGTGTGTGTGTGTGTGTGTGTGTGTGTGTGTGTGTGTGTGTGTGTGTGTGTT